TATAACATACAAAGGGCAAAAGATTGCAGGGCCTGCTGGTGGATGCTTTTACTCCCATAATTTGGGAGGCAGAGACTGGCAGATTTCTGAGTTTGAGGGCAGCCAGGTCTATATGTCAAATTCCAGGACAGCCATGGCTACATAAAGAAACCCTGTCTCAAAACCAGACAAAATAACAGATCAGCCTTAAATTAAAATCTCAGGAGTACACCAGAAGAGGTCGAGATGAAAAGCTGAAGTGGGTGAATGGATGTGGCAACTGAGGAAACTCTAAGAAAAGACAACCACCAGGCAATGGAGTAGAGTAAGTGCGAGCTGTAATCCCAACACGAGAAGTAGGGGCAGGAGGACCAGCCTCAGCTCACATAGTGGGTTTGAGGCCAGACAGGACTACAAGAGATTCTTGTCATAAAAACACATAAAAGACAAAAGGAAAAAAAGTAACAATAAAACCCAGCCACAACACCAATAAAAATAAGAAAAAGCAGTACCCAGCCAATCTAAGAAAATGCTGGAATCAAAACATGCTCTTTCCAGCTACAGTGGTATGAGCCAAAGCCTCTCAGCCTTACACAAGGCCACAGGAAACCGTTCCAGGAACCAGATAGGGAGCCAGGAACTTTGGAAACAGAACTGCAAATCCTCTTGAACTATGACTTCGAAAAGGACAAGGGCTTCTGGGGTACTGGAAGCCTTAAGTCCACAGCTTACTACACGTTCTCCAATGTGTCCTAGGGACAAGACAGTGCCAAGGCCAAGGCTATGGATATCCACATTGTCAGAAAATGCTGAAGAAACTGGCCAAGAAGCACAACACCCTTCAGCCTTGGCGTATGAAATGAAGCCACTCTCACAAACCCCAGGTGCAGGCCCACAGAAGGCTGCACACAAGGGACACAGGCAGCCAAGCTGACTGAAGTCCACCACTGACCTCCAGATGCTCTCTGTGGCTGAGGCCATGTGGAGGTGACAGGGGAGTCTGTATGCATCTAACCTGGCTGTTAAGTCTGCCCAAGCATGGCTAGAATGTGTGGGCTCTGCTTTGGGCAAGCCCTGGTGACTGGAGGAGGTACCTCTTAATGCTGGCAAAAACCCAAGGGGGTAAAACAGAAGTGTGACACATAAAAACACCAAAACAGCCGGGCGTTGGTGGCACACACCTTTAATCCCAGAACTCGGGATGTTCCCAGCACCCACATCAAGTGGCTCACAACCCATAACTTCCACTCCTGAGGTCTGACAGCATTTTCTGGCCTCCACACACATGGCATACACTCTCATACACTTAAATAAAAATAACTTTGTTTTATTATATTAATTAGGGGAAAAGGTTAAAAAGCATTAGAGATACTGATTGCAAGAGTATTTAAGTGAGTTCCAGGACAGCCGGGGCTACACAGAGAAACCCTTTCTCAAGAAAACAAGCAACAACAAAACCCAAAAATCAAACAAAAAAAGAGAATGTTTTATAGTTATAAAAGAATGTTTTATAGTTATGCCAAGTCATACAGCGTTCTCAGAAATCAATGGATTAGGTGGCTGTAGAGATGGCTCATAGGTTAAGAACACTGACTGCTCTTCCAGAGGTCCTGAGTTCAATTCACAGCAACCACATGGTGGCTCACAGCCATCTGTAATGGGATCTGATGCCCTCTTCTGGTGTGTAAGCAAATGGATTAACATATACATAAAATAAATAAATCTTTTAAAAAAAACCAATAGATTAAATGAGCAAAACTACAGAAATACAGGCTTGAATTATCAAGCAAAATACAAAAATCATGTATCCTAAAATTGGCAAAGCTCAAATATTTACAAGTATTTACCGTTTACTTTCCACAAAGGAAACTATACAGGCTATATTCTACCCATTTGTAAATTTCAAACACACTTTTAAATAGTTCTTGTTAAAAAAGAAAAGGCAGCTGGGCTGGGAAGATAGATCGTGGGTCAGCATGTTTACTGTACAAGCTTTAGACCGGAGTTCAATTCCCTACAATGTACATTAAAAAGCGATGTGTGGACACAGGCATCCCTGTAAAACAAGTGAGTGGTGGAGCAGACAGGAGCATCCTGGGGACTACTGGCCGCGTTAGCTCCAGGGAGTAAGTCAGGAGAGTGACAGAGCAGGACAGCTGACTCCTTCTCTGGCCCCCAAGTGCTCAAAGTCACACACAGCCATACACACATGTTCACATACCACACACACATACAGACACAGACACACCCACACAGGAGGGGGATGAGGACAAGATTAATCTGTAACCTCACTGGAACAGACGACAGATTTGACAGATTCAAAAGCCTGTCAGAGGTAGCCAAGACAGCTCAGAAGAGTGGTTTTATAGTCTTAAATACTACATCGTTTTACAAAACACAAAAGGAGCAGAGCCTGGTGCACACCTTTTATCCTAGCACCTAGGGGACGCAGAGACAAGTGCATCTCCAGGTTAGCCAAGGCTGCACAATGAGACCCTGTCTCAAAAAAACAAAACCAAAATAAACAAAAAAAAAGAAATGGTGAAAGTAAAATGATTATGATCCATACCCAGTTTCACAGAGATTGCTAATATCCTTTGAAATATGGAGAACCAGGCAGTAATGCAGGCATCTGGGAATTCATTTGTAAACTTTAAGCCTGAGGAATTTACATGCTAACTGCTGGTAAGCTGCTGACTCACTGTCAGTTAGGGATCAACTAACTTGGTTTGAAACTTGAGTTCTTCCCAGGAAGATGAACTAGGGTGAGAAGCACATCACTGAATATAAGCTAATGAGTTTCCTAGTCAGGGAAGGAAGGCCTGCGTACTTCTGTACTGTGGTATGAACAGAGTGGGGGCACACAGGTAAGGCTCAGCAGAATTACCTGTGCAGAACTGGGCACATTAGCTTTCCAAAGTAAGGTAAAGTGAACTGGCTGGGAAACACGACCGATCTCCATCTTTATCTGGGATCTGCTGCGGCACCAGTACCACAAGTCAGGCACTGCAGGGTCCTAGAGAGGCCAGGACCAAACGCAAAGGGGCTTTCCCTCTGTCTTGCAAGATCCACAAAATACAATAAACTAACATCAGATGAAAATAATTTTCAACTATAGTAACAGACTATAGTTTTTCAGAATCCTAACCTCTTTCAGCTTCCCATCAAAAAGGCAGAAGTGGAGACTGGAGAGGTGACTCAGTGGTCAAGAGCACTAGCTGCTCTTCTAGAGGACCCAGGTTCAATTCCCAGCACCCACATGGCAGCTTAAACAGCCTCTAACTCCAGTCCCAGGATATCTGAGGACCCCTTCTGGCCTTCATAGACACCAGGCACAAGCATGGTGCAAAGACATAGATGCAGGTGGAACATCTATGACCATAAAACAAAAATAATAAATTTTTTTAAATGTAGAAAGCTACAAATAATGGTTAGAGACACAATCTCAGTATCAGCAGCCTTCATTTACTTGAAAACACAGGGAACAAGAAACAAGGGACATGTGACATGAAATGGGGGACTATCTGGGGACAGGCAGGACTGGGATAGTCAGAATAGCAAACACAGAGTATGATAAAATGTCATCATGAAAGCCATTACTTTGTACGAACACTAAAGAAAATTAAAAATCTTAAAAGCTCAATTACTATCTTCAGAAAATAAATCTTTTTTTTTTTAAAGATTTTATTTATTTATTAAGTATACAACATTCTGCTTCCATGTATATCTGCACACCAGAAGAGGGCACCAGATCTCATTACAGATGGTTGGGAGCCACCATGTGGTTGCTGGGAATTGAACTCAGGACCTCTGGAAGAGCAGTCGGTGCTCTTAACCGCTGAGCCATCTCTCCAGTCCCCAGAAAAATAAATCTTAATTGTGGATCCTAAAACAGGTGAACACTTATATCACATCACAAACCACTCTTCCGCCACAAAAGTAAAGCTGGAACTCACTGAGTACTATACATCATTTGCTTTTTTTTCTTGGTATTTCAAGACAGGATTTTTTGTGTAGCCTTGGCTGTCCTGGAACTTGCTCTGTAGACTAGGTTGGCCTCAAACTCATAGAAATCGGGGCCTCACTCTGCCTTCCGAGTGCTGGGGTTAAAGGCAAGTGCCACCACTGCCCGGCTTATACACAATTTCTAACAGGATAATAGAAAAGGGTCTGTCTGATTTGAATCCAGCTCCTTCAACTGTGGGTGTGCACACTGAGTGTGGCAACAGGAAAAGGTGCAAATGAACTATGACCACAAATCAATTCAAAATCCAAAGTGTCTGGCGACACATGTGTCATGTGACTTCACTGTGGCTTTAATTCTAAACACATTTTGCACTGTGCCTGCCATCATACCACAACAACAAACAGGACTCAAAGCTCGGACAGCTGTGAGTTTGTGAACTGCAGTGTTTCTTACCATGCATACGGTTTTCTGCTCTTATTGTTTAGTTACAGAAAACAAAGACGTTTAATATTTTTCCACTGTTTTGTCTCATGTTCATATCAAATTAGTGTATCATTAGGTTGCATGGTGTTTGATTTTAGAAACTTCTGTTTTCATTGCTGATTTGAGCTTCATAAAATTCCTGACATGGATTCTGGCTTGAGATTAGGACAGAATTTCCAGCAATTTCTGAAATGGCACTCTACATAATTCTGCCATTTTATACTACATGCTTACACAAAGCAGCGTTTTCAAATTAACAATTACAAAATCAAAATATCAATCAACTCTGAAAAATGAGGATGTTCTACATCATGTGGCATCAAATACTAAGCCAAGATGTAATTCCTATATAAAAACAAAGATATATCTACCTCATTAGTGTGCAAGCATGCTTCTCTTCAATGAATGATGAAATTACATGCACACCAAAGAACTATTTTAAAATAACTTCCTTTATGTCTTTCTATGTTTGATTTGTATACCTGTCTTATACACTTATGTAAGGCTGAGGTCACGAGTGGAAAGCTAAGGAGCTGTGCTCAGTTACTACCCCAATAACACAGACACACGCTTTAAAAAGACCAGCTGTGCCATTTATTTGCATAAAGCCAAAGGACAGACTTAAAATCCAACATAAGATCCATGAGGCTTTCCGCCGCATTACCGATAGGTCTGTAAGAGTTGCCGGCTTCCTCTGCTTACTGGAGGACGCTGCTCTTTTTCATGCTTCACTTACATGTTCCGAAACATGAGGCATCGACTCAGCTTCAGTTTTCACAGAATTAGTATTAAGTCCAAAAAAGTCTTTTTTGATGATGTACCGAACACACTGCAAAATCACATTTCTTTCATGTCGAATGTCTGGAGCTAGAAGCTAAAATACACATTAAAAAAGATTAGTTGTTAAAAAAAAAAAAAGTTCAAGAAACACAACTTAAAATACTAAGTATCCCGTCCTAAAAGAAAGAGCACAGAACAGTAAGCCAGACAGATTTGTCAGAACACATTTCCTCCTTTCATTTGACTTACGGAGAGACTGCCTTGCTCTCTGAGCAGCACACATGTTCACACCTGGACTCTTCTCTAGGGAAAAGATCAAAAAACAGGGAAGCAGACTTAAAAGTCATGACCTTTCCTCTGAAAGCCATGCCTTCCCCACACTTGGGGGTGTGCGGGAGGGGGGTGTTAGGAGGGGGGTGGTCCTCACTGGGTGCAGGGAAATGGCTCCTTGAGACAAGAGAACCACTTTAGCATAGGAATTCCACAGCAGCCTGGGCAACATGACACTCCATAGCTTTAAAAAAAAGTCAGTAAGAAATGATAGGGGTGTCCTTCTGCATAAGTGTTTCTCTTATTGGTTAATGACTAAAACACTGATTGATTAGTAGCAAGACAGGAAGTATAGGCAGGGCTACCAGACCAGAATTCTGGGGAGAGGAGTCACCAGAGAGACACCATGCAACCACCAAGGGAATAACAGGTCTGGGCATTCTCTGGTAAGCCAAAACCACATGGAAATACTCAGATTAATAGATATGCAACCTAGATGCCCCTCAACTGAAACAATGGATAGGGAAAATGTGGTACATTTACACAATGGAGTACTACTCGGCGGGGGGGGGGGGGGGGGGGGCAAGGAG